TTTATTAAGATATATTTGAATAATTACAAGGAGGCCCTTAGTTGGGCAAGAATTTACACAGAACTTAATAAAGACAGGATGGGCCCAGAATAAGGCCCATTACAGAAAAGAAACATAAATAACAGGAAAGACTAAACAACCTATGGGCCATTCGGCCCATCTTCTCTACAAAATGCTCCACTGCCAACTCTTTTGCAATTTCCGCTCCTTGTAGTACAGCTTGGATTTCTGCATTAACTGAATCTCCCTCCCTATAGGACCGGAAAAAAGAGCTATAATCTGGCCTTCAGCATTTCTGAAGACTCCCCCTATTCCAAATGGTCCCATCTCCCAGGTTACCCAAACTGCTGCCATCAAATTTTAATTTAACCACACCTACATCAGGAGGTTTCCATTCCACCAAAGGCTTACTTCTGTCTTCAGAACTCTTGGCTACTTGCTCCCAATTCCTCTTTATATCTTCAAAAGAGTAGGGTGAGAGCAGGTCCAAGGATTTTACCCAGATTATGGCCCCTACATAGAATACTTTCCAGCACACATGTCTGATCCCTCTCCTTATCATTAAAAACTCTGGCATTTTGTTCCTCCCAAACAGTCCACACCAAAGCAGCTCTAGCACTTCTCCACAAGACTCTTCCTCTTCTGTTTGGCCACCTGAAAGTTGTAGGGTCAAAAAGTCTGCAAATATGCTCCAGTTCTGTCCACCTGCACCCTAAAAGATCAAAAAGCTTCTCCCATAGGCCTACAACAAAGGGGTAAGTGATTGGTATATGGTAATAACTTTCTTCATTTGCTTTGCATAGGGTACACCGGTTAAGAGAGATACAAAGACCAGGCCTTCTTTTTTGCATAACATCCAAGGTGTCTATTTTTCCAAGAGAGACTTCCGAACAGAGGGTTCCCACTTTTGGAGGGACAGGTTTGGACCAAACCTCCTTGTTATGAAAGGAGTGGAGAGAATGTAAATTACCTCTTCCTTGGGTGTCCTTTTACTTTGAGGGTGTAAGACTACTTTTGTAATCTCTTGGGTGTTGTATGGTCAGCACCTTCTAAGGTAGTAGATTTATTTACATTTAAATATCTTTGTATGCACACAAAAAGGGAAATTCTATGGTGTTGTAGAAGAGTGGTCATTATACATATACAGTGTTTTTGAGGTGAGTGAAATTTTGAAAACAAAAGTCAAAATGCAGAAAGTATTATATACACTTATTTAACAAGGGTGGCACATTGGAAAAGACTAAAGAGGAGTTTCAAGGAACCACAGTTGATTAAATCCTAAGAGTGTTTAATGCATTGGCTAGCTTTTCTCCAAGGGATGGACTCTTAGCTCTTACAAACTGAGATTTATAAAGGGAGTGGAATGGCTTAGTTGGTGAAAGAAATTGTCAAGTTGTGTTCAGTTGGTTTCCACTAAAGACTGAAGGACCTTGCATTGGCATTATCTACCAACCTGAACTGCTTGTTCAAATGGATTTCCATGTATATAGCCTAGCCAGGTCGGGGTCAAAAAGAGGGAATCAGAGTGGGGGATGCCAGGTGGGAAACATCTGCAGTTTAGATTTTATTTGATTAATTGATATTGTCAGCTTACGGCTGTTGAGATTTTGAGTTGTCTGCTTCTCTAACCAGTTTGGAGAGTAGGGTTGCTCTTTACATTCTCCTGTGCTTCTTGCAAAAAGAATAACTATTAATGGTTAGAAGAGAAAACAGATAACTTTTGAGGATTTGAAGCCTGAAAAAGAATTCTCTGGGGTGCATTTTATTTATAGATCATGTAATAACTTTTGGGGATTGAATATACTACCTTTCTGCTTCTTTAGGTGCTTTGTGTTCTAAATACTTCCATGGAATTATGCTGCAACTCTTTATCTGTGTCAGAAAGAACGTCACTCAATTTCAAAATTCAATATGAAGCATTCTTCATTATTACATGCATGTCTTTTTGCAAATTATGGAAGATTCTTGTGCTGTTGTTTATGGTTCTTTTATTTCTCATGGCATTTTAATGCTCATAAACTCAATTCAATGGGATCTATCATTTTAGAGTGACCATCTTGTCTATGCAATTAGAATTGACATTTTTTATAAGTTGATTTCTTTAAAGTCTTATCTATTTCTTTACTTAGTTGCCTGTTAATGTACAGGGTGCTGTTAAAGGTAATAGCCTTGCAAATATGACCTGTCACGATGTATGGATAGAGTACCATGACATGGGCTGGGGAGGTATCAAAGCTGTGGCAGACTACAAAGTTTATACAGCTGGATCAATTTTGGATCTACTACATTTTGTTGCCCCAAAGATGATGAAGCGTGGAGGTGCTCAATTCTCATATGGAATTGCTGACAATTTAGATGATCCTAAATATAAACACTACAAATACTGGTCAAATCCCTTAGAAACAAAGTGAGAACCCATTTTCTTTGTTATCGCAAGTTGCTTTTTTACTTCAAGAAATTGTCCCTTCTCCTTTTGATAAGAATGTTGATGTCTCTCTCTCTCTCTGGAAAAGGTAAAGTAAAAGCAAGTAGTTGTAGTTAATAAATCTATATTTTATCAATAACAGAAACTCATATTATTAATAAGAAAACAGGATTACATACAGCACTCTGGGGAGGAGATAAAATGACTTAACTCTTCCCAAGAGAACAAGAAAAGAAAATTACAAATTAGCCCAAAACATTTGGACCCTTCCCACCCCCTATTTTGCCAAAATATGTGCAAAGGCATTTTCAGTTCTCTTCACCCAATGAAACTGAATTTCCAATCCCCTGGATAACCACTTAACCTCTCTCCTCTCATTAGCATAACTCTAGAGTCCATTGTCCTTCCCTAACCAGTTTAATACTAACTGTGAGTCTCCTTCAACCATCAGCTTTTGAATATTCAGCTTTGTTAGAGTGAGCCGAATAGGGGTAGTTTAGTAATCTCATGTCAGTTAAGTACTTTGCTTATGTGGCTGTTTTATTAGAGCACTCTGCCCCACACTTAAGTGTGGGCAATTTAGTCTTTGTAAGTGTAATTAGAACCTAATAAACATAAGGGGGTCGACTGAATGGGTGACTAATCAGTTTCGACTAAACCCTCCTGTTCTCTCTTTCTCTTGTCTTCTTCCTCATCTTCTTCTTCCTTCTTCACTGGTTCGGATTACTGTAGCTGCTCCAAAACAAGCTTCTTTGCCTTCTTTAATCCTTCCAATAAAGCATACATCTCAGCTCTAAGAGAGTCACCAACCCCAATGGGACCTGAGTACAATGCAACCACCTTCCCATTTTCATCTCTGAAAACACCTCCTACACCTGAAGGTCCTGGATTGCCCTCACTACTCCCCATTAAAGTTCAATTTTACAAAACCAGGGGCTGGTGGTGACCACAGAGGACACAGTTGAATGAGCTGGTGCAGAAATTGCCACCTCCTTCCAATTGTTAAGCAACATACCGGTGGAGACATCAGCAAATAGATCCAAAGATATTAACCATTGCACCACCCCAACTGTAATAACTCCAATAATCTGTTCTTTCTTCCTTTGTTTTTCAGAAAATCCTTTTCTCCCATAACCAAAACCAGTGGCGGAGCCAAGAATTTTCTCTTGGGGGGG